TGGAGTCGGCAAAAATCCGAGCCAAATACCCGGACCGCGTCCCGGTGAGTAACCCCGCCGGCGCCGCCCCAGCGCGTTCCCACCCCGCCGCTCGCCTTCGGCCGGATCCCACCACGTAAACTCGTCTTCCCTCCCGTCTCCTCCCGCGTCTGAAGGAGGCCCCAACACATCGAGCTGGTCCAGCGTTCCCCCCGCTGGCAAATAAGCGAGAGGGCCTGGCTCTGTAAACGCTTCCCAGGCACGTTTGTGCTTTACCGGGGCCCTGGTCGCTTCTAACGCCAGATCTCTGCCCGCAAATACCGTCAGCGTCCTGAAGGTTCGTTCTGTGCCTGGTCCCAAGAAATACCATAAATTCTTTAAACCTCGGTCATCTCCCATCCCGGCTGTATGAGGGAGGTGATTTTCCCTCACGTTTTCCACGCAGATAATGAGTCTTATCGTGGTGAATCTTCCCGTGCAAACCCCATTGTCTGAAGAGCCAGTGCAAGCGGTGACCCCTCCATTCTGTGATAATACCTGCCTGCCTGCCAGAAGGCGAATGCGTGCCCTCTCTTCCTCCCTCTGCAATCCCCATTACTGTGTCTCCATCAGGGACTTGACCACCCTTCCTGTCCTTGGGTAACAGGTAGCAACACGTCCCCATTCTCGCCTTCCCTGCTAGTGAGTAAAGTTTCTCACAGCCCATCTGACTGCACGCTGCTGCCTGACTTCTTGGTAGCACAGCTCGGAGAAAAACCTCTGCTCCCACTGACTTCCTCAGCTGCTGAGTGGCACCTGCTCACAGCATCATCTCCAGCTGCAGCCTGGCTCCCATCCTTGCCACTCGGCGTGGGTAGCTGCCCCCACATATAGAGCCTGTAGCATGCCAGTGACCATACTTCTCCACAGACACCCTTTTGTCCATTCCAATAGTATCTTTCATAACCCTAGGGGAAAAAGAGAGGTTGAAACTCACCGTGTGAGTCGGAACTATGTGACGCTGTATCAGGAAGGTGCAGAGGGATACAGGAATTAAATCTCAAATCGCAGTGTGATGCTTTGCCTGGGCCGGTGCGTGTTTTCTGCTTGAGGATTCAGACTGAGCCACGTCCCTTCCACAAAATATTTTTTTTCGACAGTCAACAGTGTTTTTCAGACTTAATGCGTGTTTCCTGCTTCCCAGGTTGTAGCCTGCATCCGGAGCGACACAGCTCAAAGTGACTTCAGTTCTCAGCTGCTGTGTCTGTCTGCCTGGATTTAGAGATGCTGCAGTGGTTCAGACCTATTAGGATAATCCACGAACAGCCTGCCTCTGACCTAGGCTAGGCCTTTTAGGGATAAAACAGGAGGTGAAAGAAATTCATGTTTGCTAAGCACTGCAATTTTAAAGTTGCCTGGGGAATTGAGTGTTCTCGGGGTTAAAGGTTAATCTCTAAGTTTTATAGAAGCAGTTCACCAACAGCCTTGACTTCCAGGTGTGACAGTTTCTGCATTATGAAGCTAAAATGCTAGTGTGTTATTGTGATCTTTAAAAAACAAAAAAAGTATCAGTTGTTAAGGCTTCGATACTCCTTTCAGGCTGTTCTTGGTCTTGTCCGCAGTTCCCTCATACTAAACTGCAAGGGGCAGCTACTACGCCCTCCTCCCGTTCCTGTAGGCACAGCTGAAGAAAGTATAAGGAAAACCGTCTCCAGATCATAAGGTAGCATAGGTTGTAGATTTACTTGCACATTACCTGCACACTGTAGCGATGGGGAATGCAGAGCTACGCAATGGAGATGCTGGAACCTCTCGTAAGCTGTATTTCCCCACATGCTGCCTCTTTCCTTCAAGAACTAGCCTCTGTGGAACAAGCAGCGTCAGATCCTTTGCACAAGTACCACTTCGTTCTCCTTCCTCCTGTAGCTGTTGCTTTTTGTTTGGTTTTGTTTGTGGCCATCTCTCCTTCCTGTGGTCAGTGTCTGATTTCCTGAGGTATGAAGTAAGGTACTCTAATGTCAGTTCAAAATCATGCGAAGCAGAGATGAGCACCCGGGAGCCGTACCTTGACAACGGTGGAACAAACAATCTGCTGTGGAGTGCAGTCATACTCAGAATAACACGTTAAAAAAAGAAAGTTGTGGTTTCCAGTGATGAAATCGGTATGTTACTGCAGAACTGAGTCTACAGACATCCTAAACTAGCGATTAACACAGGCAGTCTTTTTTCAGAGTTGCAAACAAAAGGCTGTTGGTGCTGCAGACACCATCTTACCTAGGCTTCCCTGCCTGGGGGTGCCTCCCCGCTTGCTGTCACCGAGCGCTCCCGGGTAGGCAGAGAACGGCCGTGTTCCCGTGGTGGCCTCGCAGCATGGGCATGGGTTGTGATCGCTTGGTTTATTTTTTTATTTTATCTTTTTTCTTACAGCCTATGTATCTCTTCTGGCTCTCATTCATATACGGCTAAAACCTACACTTTGTTCGTACGGCTTCACTGCCATCTGGTAACTTCACCCGGTCAGCTGACGCTGTAACCCCACAGTTTTTAACACCAGGTGCGCCCGTTGCTGGGTTACCTGGCAGTGCAGCCGGCTGCAGCAGCGGCGCACAGGCAGGATCGCATCACAGCGCCTTTCCCGGGATGCTGGGGAGTGCGCAGCCGGCATCCTCGGCTGGCCAGCTGGTATTCCAGCGCGTGCTGCAGCCACGCTCCACTCCTCTTCCTTGAGGGGTCGTTGGGCCTGGCTGACGTGCTCGGTGGCTAGCTGTGGGACATCAGTAGTGATTGCCGGATTAATTATAGAAGTGCAGAAAGCATGGATATCAAATCAAAAGCAGCGCTGTGAAGCACTGTAAAAGCAATGAACACGTGGTCTGTGGCCTTGCATGATACCGCAGCTGACACTGCAGCTCTGTCGGAGTTCTGACCTCGTCCAGGTACACCACGGCTGCTTCGCTCTGCGCTGCATTACCTGCAGTGCGCCTGGGCCTCCGCTTAGCGTGGCCGCGGCTGCCGTACTGGTACGGTGTGCTGCACGGGTGAATACAAGAGACTTCAGGGAGAAAAAAAAATATTACTGAATACTCGAATGCTCTAGATGGAAGCCTGAGAGCCACTCTGGCGTCTCCGGCTCGTGCACAGCAGGTGAAATGGCAGATTAGATGCCAGACTAGGCTGGGAGATCTCCCTCCTATTTACGTAAATACTGATTTTTAGCTTCAGTGTTACTGAAATTTATTAATTTATTTCTAATATTTCTTCCTTTTTTTTTTTTCCTTCTGCTATACGGCATATTGAAGCAGTTGGTTCTGTCATTTGTTAGCAGCAACATGGGACATTGTTCAAAGAACAGAGTTAGGTTGGAAGGGTGGAGGTTGTGTCTTAAATCTGTATTTCTTCATATTCTGGGATTTTATTTAGTCGTATGACAATTTACAAGAGGATAGGGCATGCTTGTTGCAAACTAGATTTCTGTGTAACACAAGATTTCAAGCAATGATGGTCATGCTTGCACATCCTGTGAGGAGCCTCTGGAGCTCATCCAACCCCTCCCAGCTCAGGCAGGGCCCCCCACCGCCAGCTGCCCAGGACCGTGTCTTCTGAGCATCTCCAAGGATGGAGACTCCACAGACTCCCTGGGCAACCTCTGCCAGTGCTCCGTCACCCACACAGCGACAAAAGTGTTTCCTGATGTTCACAGGGGACCCCTCGTGCTCCCGCTGGTGCCCATCACCTCCGGTCCCGTCACTGGGCGCCACTGAGCACAGCCTGGCTCTGTCTTCTTTTCCCCCCTCCCGTCAGGTAGTCACACACATTGATAAGATTCCACTGAGCCCTCTCTTCTCCAGGCTGAACAGTCCAAGCTCTCCCAGCCTTTCCTCACAGGAGAAATGCTCCAGTCCCTTAAAAGCATTTGAGGCCCTTTGCTGGACTCTCTCCAGTATGTCCATGTCTGTCTCATACCAAGGAGCCTAGCACTGGACCCAGCACTCCAGGGGTGGCCTCGCCAGTGCCAGGAGAGGGGCAGGATCCCCTCCTCGGACCTGCTGGCAACATGTTGCCTGATGCAACCCAGGACACCGTCAGCCACCTTTGCTGCCAGGGCACACTGCTGCCTCGTATTCAGCTTGGGGTCCACACTCCCGTAATTTCATATCAGCATACAGAAGTTAACAGATGCATATGCTTTCCTGTCACAGGTTTCTTTTAAGCGTATGGAGTCTCTTTACCCTGCGACTGTCAGCCTTGGGCATGAGGAGTCTTCAGCCATTGTGTGTAGAGGAGTGTAGGTGTCCTGCTGGAGAGCAGCTCTGTGGAGAGGGACCTGGGTGTCCTGGTGGACGACAGGTTAACCATGAGCCAGCAGTGTGCCCTGGCTGCCAAGAAGGCCAATGGGATCCTGGGATGCA